GATTTATAAAACCTGCCAATCAATATTATGGCATCATTTACAGGTTTCGTTTTAGGCTGCTCTATTTTGGTTTCGTTTCTGTAGCAGCTACTTCTGTCGCTGTACAAGGGGCAGGCATGTTCCATGGAGCGGTTTTCCCACATTCCTGTTTACTGAATGGCTTCATCCATTCTCTACACTTTCACAATTCTCCCTACTTCAGGTTTCCTAGTTTAAAGTCTCTCGACTGGCTCCATGTTCGCCGTCGTCTCTTAGGCATTCGTTGTATATGACCATCTTCTTTCTCGTGCCTACCTATAGGTTGCTTCCTTCTATTTCTTTTCTTTTTTCTGATTTTCACTGTTTGATTTCTATTTTTTTTGTTTATTCCGTAGAGTTCTTTCTCAGTGATATTGTACTTGCAGCCCGTCGCAACTGTTACTGTTGCACAGGCCAATTACCGACGCCTGCTTATCTTGATGCTTCTGAGCTAGTGAAATATTCACTGAACCGCTCACTTTTTGCTATTCAACCAGTAGCTTACAAGCCGGTTCCACGTGGGAAGTTGGCATACCCGTGTGCCGAAGTTCCGGCTTCGTCCTATGACTCCTCTCCTGGAATGAGGGCACCATGGCCAACTGGTGCAGTTACTGGCTATAAGAGCTTCTTCGTTGCACTCTTCATCATTGCAGCATCTGGATATCGGAGTGTCCCAGTGATTTCATATTTTGTCCCCTTATCTTTTCCTATTCTCTTATTGCACAGTAGCGTCGGGTGGCTTATTTGCTAGTTGTGGCGCACTCAGTGGAGTGTATGAATAAATAAATAAATAAATAAATATTGAGCCTTACGGACTCAACGTCTCTAAGGTGCAATCTCCTTGCAAGTCTGCTGCTTATCAATGATCTATCGGCGCCATGACGTGAACAGGTTTGAATGTTCCCGTGGTTGGGTTGTGCACTTAACCTCTCCTGCCAGGACCATATCGTTTCCGTGATTGTCGAAGTGGAGTACGTTATCTTCATTTGAGCTCAAGCTTTGTTTGGAATCCGAAGGTTTGGAATCCGGAGTGTTGTTATTTGACGATTGCAAGGATGTGCGTTGTGCACCCTTTGTTGCTTGCTCCTTTGGGTTTTGGGACGTTTCCGAAGTAATGTTTGGAAAGAGAGTTTTACAGATTGAGGAGTGGTGTCCAATGGTTCCACACATTCTGCAAGCTCCCTTGCAGCATGTTGCTGCTGTATGATCTCTTTGGTCACAATTACGGCACAGTTTTTGCTTCCTCATGATCTCAAGACGCTGTTCAAGTGTAGGGTTTTCAGTGCAGTTTTTCGCAGTATGTCCTGTTTTTGGACAGTAAAAACAAAGCTTTGATTGTTGAAGCTCCGCTGGTTTGTCTTTCGTCGCAGTTCTCTTTCCTTCTTGTATGGCACTTGCATGGTACCCTTTGTTACTGAATACGTTCCGCTCGACTTGACCTATGATTCTCAGTACAGCCTCTACGAACTCTTTTGCGGTTTTCAAGAGGGTCATCGCGTTTCATGTCCCTTCCACTTGGAATTTTGCTTCTGACGGAGAATCTTTCTCTGAACGTCTACGGAAAACTTCCCAAGAAGTTGTTTCTGCAGGAATGTGTTACCGATATGTTCTCCGAAAAGATGCAGCTGTGTCGTAATGGAAGTAAGTTTCCTGATCCCTGAGTTTGTCACTGATCGACTCGTTCGATTGCAGCTTACTCACAATGGAAGGATACCGGGTCACAGTAGCCATTCAAGATGAGATGTATACCGGTGTAGGTAGTTTCAAACGCTGATCTCATATCTGGGTTTCAAATCTGCGAAACGATTCTGGGAACAAAGTGACGGGCCCCCCTTCCCCAGGTGCCATAATACAGGTATGTGCAGCACCTTGTGTTAATTAAGCTGTGGAGGTTCAGTCGAGTTAAATGACGGTTTATGATTCAGCGATAACA